TACAAACAGACAGAAAAGTCAGACAGATGGAGGGAAGGAAGGAAAGAGGGGTGTGGTGGTCAAAACTACCGTATGAGAGTTGCCGCGACACATATGGACAAACTTAAAAATATTAAAGTGTAATAAGTAGGTCTTTCATTAATATTCCATGAGCATGAAATAAATAAATGGATGAATTAGTCATGGACTGACTTGGGAACACAGCTAATCGGAACTTGGTAAGAAATTTCTGCTTTCCAAGTCTTACACAGAGGCTGCCGCTACAAGATTATAAAGTGTGCATATGCACAGACACACTCAGCAGGACGTGGTACAGCAGCTGACTGGATTGCACCCTGTTCCTTACTGTTTGCTCTGTTAGCTCCCTCTCATCTACCCATCCTCCTGCAGGCTCTTGTTCTTACTGTGTCCTCATCTCTTCTCTTTCCCTCGCTTGCTCTCTCTCTCTCTCTCCCTCTCCCTGTGTTGCAGTGTGATGTCACCATCAGGAAGCTAATGTTGCGTATCCTTAGGGTGCTGCATCCCTTCTTTCTGATTCACATATACAGCACAAATGAAAGCTCAAAATGAAAGCTGACACACATGTATGCAGCCTCGATGGAGTCACTAGTTCCAACACTAACACTGTCTCCCTCATCTGTCCAGTCCATCTGTGAAGTGTTTGGTTGAAGTGTTTTATCAAATGCAGCACTGAAATAAAACCCTACAGAATGGTTCATCAGATCTTATTAAGTTTACCTATCAGCACTGCCAACTAACCAAAGGCTAAAACAGCGACTATCAAACATGTTTATTGACCTTTTGTTGGCTTAAAAGGTGGAGACAATACAGTTTTAGTAGCAGTCAAAGGAAGTTTCAATCTGCACTTACAAACTGAAAATCAGAGGAGCTGTATATTACAGTATACAACAATAATGCACAAGTTGGACAATCCTGAAACTAAATGAAACACACCTGTGATTCCCAAGCAGCCTTACTGCATTAACATGGTTATAAATGGCGTGTGAACACCAGAACTTTCTAAACTTATGACGTATGGACTGTGCCTATCTGTATGTCTGCACCATGCCTCACATGGAGAACTGCCAAAGGAATTAAAAGAAAAAAAAAACATTGTGAGGCTTTACAATGGTGGAAAATAATACAGGAAGTTTTGTGACCAACCATCTACAATGTCTTTTTATAAAGGACATTGAATGTGATCATATCGATTTGGCACAAAATGTCAAGATTAAACTTGGCTAAATAACGCAAAAAGAAGCCTGATAAATATTTGTGGCACATTCTTTGCTCAGTTCAGACCGCACAGGAGTGTACTCTATATAAAATTTAAACTAAAAGCACATTCAGTTAACAGCTGTAGCCCAAATACTCAAAATACTGAAGGTCCTAAATAAATAACTACATTTTTTTTTTTAAATGCCACTGATATGTTTTCCATTGTTCTTTCCTAATAAAAACAATAAGCAGAGATCAGCTTTACTAAGACAAGAATAGGGCTGCAAAGCTAATCAAATATTAATCATGACCTCATTTCTCGCTACCCGCAATTAAATTTACACGATTAACTGCGATCTAAAATGTGTGCTCCACTCATGGAAAACCCCACTAACAGTAATTAGACTGCTTTATTTTACTTTTTCAAAGTCATTGTGGGTCACACACCTGTGTGAGCTGCTGCACTGAGTGGGGAGACTAGAGGCTTCTCTGTGCACAGTCACCTAACCAGCTGTTACCCTGACCGTGCATGTGAAGTGTTTAAAAAACATTGTGAAAATATAGTGTCCAAGAATAAGAAGACGTCCCGAAAGTGAGGCTTTATGGCATATTTTGCCTTAATAAAGGCATATTTGTACATTAGCAGCAACGTAACAGCATGGAAGTAAAAGTTGTTTATTTAAATGTGAGGGTGCAAAAAAATATTTTGTCCCTAATAAAAAAATAAAAAAATAAATGAATAAATGTGATGTCAGTATTGACCAAAACAACTGTGATTATCATTTCTGGCTATAATCAAGTTCAGAACTTAACAAAACCAGGTATTTGCCAATCGGGAACTGAATCCAAAACGGAATGAGCCATCAGAGCCCATTCTTATAGTAACTCAGAAAATCATGCTAGAGTCCCTTTTAAGGCTTCCTGAAACTCTCAGGTCCCAAGATCCAAACAGGAAGCTCTCCCAAAGATTATTTATTTGTACCCGGAGGATTTTCTTGTCTGCATGCTGCCTGCGCATGATACACTCCACATCGTACAGACACCATTTTCCATTCAGACATGTTTGTCAGTCACAGACAAATTACTGGAAAACAGTTAAGAGTCTAAGCTGAGAATTTTCCTGTGCTCACTGTGTAAAACAAGCTGCAGTCAAATTACTTTTCAGAAGGACACTGGCCTCCTAGGGATAACAGGACTGATGGAAACTTGGCTATATTAATCTGAGACAGGATACTGTGGAGCATTGTGTTTGAACACCTCAGCTGATAAGCACCTATAGCTTAACAATGAACAAACCCGCAGCTCTTCACAGAATGACTATGAGACGGACGGATGGAAAAACTGCCATCTAAGCAACCCCTCTTCTGTCCATGCACTACTTCCTAAATATTTGCTAGCAGGCTTGTATTTAGAACAACTAGAGTACTTCCTATGTTCGCCATTACTAAAGCTCAGGTTTGCACGTACAGTCCGTGGAAAGTGTTCATTGTAGGTCAGTCGTACATCAAGAGGAATAAAATGAGGTGCAACGCCAGGGTGAAATGGCCTCTGGCTATAAAAGCATACAGTACATGCAGGTTTTGATCCATAATAGTCATTCATGAAGGCTTTCACACTGACCTACTGAGCCATTCGGCTGTCTGTCTGTCTGACCTCAATACAGCAAGAAGAACAAAAGCTCACATGCCAAATATTAGACACACACATCGTTATGTCCATTCCATCAATGAGACGCAGTGGCTTATTTGTTATTTTCATTTTCCAATAAGACTATTTTACTTATTTGGAATTCTATTTTAAATGCTAAGTGATAAAGTCTGGTTAGGAGATGCTAACAATAACCACACCACATCTGTGTATGTGTATGTAAAATTAGGGCCCATTCTTTCTCACTAAAGGTTGAGGGCTATGAGTGAAAAAAACAAAGCTAAACAAAGTGTATTTATACGTTGGCCCACCTATAAAACCCCTGCAGGAAACCACAATGTTATAACATAACATGATGTATTACCGTCCTTGCTGAGCGAAACGACCTGCGGTCAGAGCTGAAACAATCGGGGGATTAAGCAATCAGTTAATCAACAGAAATTTAATTAGCAACTACGCTGTTAATCAATTCATCGTCATCTTTAAAGCAAACAAACCAATTGTTCGCAGGGTTCTGGGGAAGTGTGATGGTCATTTTACACTATTTTCTGACATATTATAGACAAAACAATTAATCAAAACAATACCGGTCAGATTAATCAACTTTGGAAATACCACTAATCCTTAGCTGAAGCCCTATTGTGCCTGCTCCCACTTGGTTGGCCAACCTATTTACACTGCTTAAGTTCTTTCAGCATTTTTGTTGTGATTTAATACTCTCGCAATACTGACCATTACTCAACAAGGTGCTCTGTCAGAAACACACTGATTTTTGCCATTTAGCTCATGCACCACATGGTAAGAAACCCTTAGACAACTTTTACTGTCAATATTTCAACTTCAAAAGTTCTACTGCTGATTTAAACTTCTTTTTTGGGCCAGGATTCCCACATGTGTGAGTGGGTGGGTGGGGGATTGTTTCTTTTCTGCATACTAGTATATCCGCTCCAACGTCTACAGAGTTTCTATGCACAACCACAATACATCTCTGGATTGCATCACTTACAGTAAAAGCCACCCTCTAAGGACACCAGCGGGCTTTCGTATTGTGTCGTTTCGAGTGGGGATTTCCATTGCATTTCCCTCCACTGCACTGGCACCGCTTTGGGTTTCATGTGTTGAACACCACTGGTTATCACTTCCACATCTGTCCACTACCTGCTGGGTCAGCTGTTCAGCCACAATGACATCATATGCTCACAAAACACAATTCCTTGTTGCAATAGTGCAGACAAGGCTAGGAGGACAGTATTTGATGCCTCCTGCTCATGTGTCTCCCACCCCACCCCACCCACCCACCCTGCAACATCCTCTGTGTGTTTCAGCCCAGAAACACAAACGGGAGCAGTCGAAGCATGGCTGAGTCTTGCAGGTTGCCAGATATCGGGCTGCAGTTTGGTTACAGTGAACATGCCAAGACAGAGGGAACAAGTCTCAGTGAGACATAAGGGTCTGCGCTACAGTAGCCGAGCAGCACAACAAGGGTGTGGTGACTGGGAGAAAGGAATTTCCTCCGGAGAGACAAATGTTTTTGAACAGTTATTTAGTACAGGCGAGGAGGACAGACTTCGTTGAACCGCATAACCACATTTTAAAAAAGGTCACTCACTCACTCGACAGCCTCAAAGTGTTTTCGATATATATTGTTTTTTTTTTTAGCTTTCCAAGAATTCCTGTTTGTAAGAAAAACAAACCTTCAAATGCCGCTTACTGGTCAAACAGGTTTCCAAAGAGAAAGCGAAGATTAAAGTTTGTACAGCCAAGTGTTTGTCTCCACAGCCGGACACGGTTAAATAAAAAATTAAGTAAATAATGCGAAGGTTTGGGCTGGGTTTGTGTGGTAGCAAAACCGAAATGAACCACATTTTCATATGGGGGGAGGAAAAACAAAACAAAACAGGTGTGTCCGTCGGTTTATAGCTCCTTTCTTTAACATTTTTCGTCGACCAAACCTCGAAACTCAGCTGGAAAACTTTTAAACAAGTAACAGGTTTCTAGCCGCCGTCGTTTCTCGACTCACCGACTCGCCGCTTCAACCAACTACTTCACCGTCACCACTCGCGTTAATAACTCCTGGAAAAACTGTTGAAGCTTCAACTTGGTGAAACTAATGAAACATTGACATTTATTCTTACCTCCGTCTGAAGGGTGAGCTTTCAAATCACCAACGGGCTCCGTGTTCGCCTCCTGCCGTCGTCCTTCCCCTGAAGCGGCTGTAATCAGAGTGAACGGCCGAGCAGCAGTCAAAGCGGTTCTCACAAGACCCGCCCACTGTGCTGCATTCACTTCCCCCTGGGAAACTTAGCATTCACCACTTTTTTAAAAATACAGTCGTCCTGCTTCCATTAAAGAAAAGGCAAAGTTCACAGTAGTCACTCAAATAACTAGAAACTGAAAAAAGTAATAATAAATAAAAAATAAAAATTTGCTAAATTATAATTTAGTGAAATAAGACATTGCGTTTGAATTGTGGTTGAAAAGAACAAATGAAAAACAACAACAACAACAAAACTGTCTCGGACAAATTAGAGCACTTTGCTGATGAGCAGCGGGCCAAAATCAAAATACCTGTCAACAGGTGCAGAAGTCTGATTGAGAGTTACAGAAAACACTTGATTGCAGTGACTGCCTCAAAGGGTTGTTCAACAAAACATCAGTTTATGGGTATCATCATGCTTGTTTGCCACGATTCAAAAGCAACGTCATGATTTCCATTAAATTTTTATTTCTTATTACTTTTGTCAATTTCAACTTATTTCAGTGACAGCTGTTTTTTTTTTTTCCTTCTTTAACGGGAGGGTATGAATACAGTTTTATTTTTAATTTCAAATTAATCTGCCTATCAATTTTATTAAGAATTTTGTGCACAAAAGACTAGACATGTATCAGACACTTTTCCTAATCTGACCAACAGTAAAAAAAATAAATAAATAAAAAAGTTCAGAAAAGCAACAAACCCTTGCATTTGACAACTTAATAATCAAACTAACTTTATTTACTTGGGTGGGGGACTGTTGAAGAAATGATACGCTGCAAAATTTCTGCCTCTGTGCTGTGTTGGTACTATTAAACGGGACAATGCTGAAAGGTGCATACTTTTTACATCAGTTTACAAATCAGATGTTGTTTTTAGTATCATCCTATTATTACTAATACTATTTGAGGAGGATATATATATATATAAGAACCTGATACTACTGAACTGGAGACTTTTTTGGACATAAAAATGCTTTTGGCTGTCACCAACTTTGAGAAGGAAGTCAGGTTGTTTTACCAAAATCACACTGAAGCAAACAAACCAAACATTACACAAATTTTACATGACCGACATATCAGCTAATGATTTGCTGGAGCAAACAGCAATTTCTGGAAGTTTTTATTGTTCCCAGGTTGCCTGGAGATGTTTGAGTTCTCTTTTTAAGCTCCTTGCTAACTGAGAATCACTTACTTCTGACTTGTCAGCTTTAAAGTTAATGCTTGCACTCTTTATGGGAAATATTTAAGAACGTTAAGCTGCTCCTGGTTGCTAATAACTTGTCATTAGTGGATATTTGGGACAGAGAGCGGAACACATGTCACATTATCCATTTAGGGGACTTAAACGGTAAGAGAGAAAAGTCCCAACTGTATTTGAATGCAGCACAGTGTCTTGATTCCGACGCCTGAACGCTATTGGCTGAAAAGATTTAACTGTTAAACGTCTCCTCCTCTTTACGGTTAAAAACTAATGACATCATTTATATAAAGATGCTGTTTTGTTGTTGTTAGTGTTTTATAAATGTCGTCTTCTTCTTTTTCTTCTATTATATTATTCTTATTTCAACTGTTGTTATTGCTATATTACTACTGACTTATTTTATATATTGTTAATTTGTGCAGGGAAGTACACAATTAAAACTAACTGCACTGGAGTTGGTTAGCAGCTACTTTAAATCTGTTAGATTAGGTTATTATTATCATTAATATTATTATTATCAACTGAACATTATCTATGTTGTTGCTACTGTTGTTGTTATTCCTTGTTGTGTAAGGAAATGGACTTTGACCAAAGTGCTTTTCTCCCACAGTTCAACAGGAAATCACACAACAGGGATTTAAGCTTTTTAACATGCCTTTCCCTCGATGGGGTCGTAAGTTCATTCACTCCAGGGTGCAGTACGCTGTGAAAACACAGCAGTAGCGGCAGCAGCTCGGGGGTAGGAAGAACACTTCTATCATTATGCATATCATTAGACCGCAGTAGCCTGTAATAAGCACTCACAATCATAGCAAGACAAAGTTCATTTTTAAGCCAGATCAGAAAGTTTTAGTGCACCCAATTAAAAACATCCAGCGGCAAATTTCCGGTGCATTAATGTTCAAACACAGACTTAGTTGTTGAAAGGTTTGAATCATAAGCTTCAGCAACATGCTGGATGGGTTTTATGTGACTTCTCTGTATCCTGTCTCTTTGACGCTAATCCGTGGTGGTACCCACGTACAGTAGTTTCAGATAAAACGATGCACACTGGGGCCTCCCAGTGACACAGAGGTACTGATGCTATTTCTGTAAGTTGTCTGGCAGAGGAGCTTTCTGTCTGATGTTGTGTTTACAAGAGAAGGGGGAGTATTTGATGTGGAGCCACAGTTACAATTCTGTCAGTTTCCTGCTGTGTCTGTATAATCTGCCATTTCGAGTCTGCACTGTGTGGTTCATCCATTGAAATTTTAGTGGCTCCTGAGACAAGAATCCTGTGAAAACACCTTTCTACAGTTGTGAACCTAAAAACTTTTTCTCGAATCAGTAACCCCAGTGAGTCTAAATAAGCTCACAGAGATTGAAAACAAATTAGCTCAGAACTTTTATTCAGAGTTAAACTTTGATGAATTCATGTCATCAGTAATTTATGTTTACACCATTAACTGGTGATGCTACATTTGTGAATGATCCAGTTCCTCCTTTCAAAGAACAAAGGGAACTGCGTTATACTAAGTGAGAACTGTTTTGTTGTTGTTTTAATGATTGTGCCCAAATTTCGCTGTAATGTTTCACACAGGTTGATAATTTAATTGTGACAGTGGATGATGCAGCATATGAGTGTTATGCAAGCAGAGACTTGTGCAGTTTGAGGGAGAGTGAAGCCCAGGAGTAACTCTAATATCTAAAAATAACAGGGCACAGTTTATAGATGGGCCATGTGTGGGCGTCCCAAATTGTGATCAATCTGTTGCATTGATATTCTGTTCAGCGTGTGATAAATGTGGAACGATGAGCTGCACTGTTCACCCTGATTTATCCTAACAAAGCAACAGCAAAGTGGCAAAATCCTAACAACTGACCAACCAGTGGTGTCAGACAGTGAGAGATATTTGCATTTACACTTTATCACTGTTGCAGTCCAGTGAAAAAAAAGAAAAGAAAGAAAGAAAGAAAAAAAAGAACACAAAAGAAGTATGAGCTGTTATTTTGAATAGCTCTTGGTAAGGAACAGAGTCATAAGCTCTTTTCAAAGAGCCATTATTCTCATCATTAGGGCTAAACTCTAAGGGAGCTGGAGAGTTTAATACAGAGAAGAAACGCTTACATTAACTGTGTCACACCATCCACCTTAAAATAACCTGTTCTGCCAGACTATAAACTGCTCCACAAAAAAAAAAAGATGACATAGTTTGTAGTCAGTCATGAGACGAGAGCGGATGGTACACATACATATCCTTGAATTAACTTTAAGAACTTTCTGTCCACTTAGCAACCAAGAGCCAAAGTCACTGCGTTAATGGGCTTCCAGCGCCAGTTTCACGAGGAGGTGTGACTGAATTTTAATGTGCTACTTTCTGAATCTTTCTGAATCTTTTTTTAATGTGACAGCAGCGTAAGATTTTTTTTTTCTTTTTCACCAATATGCAAAACACCTAAACACTAAAATTAACAACAAGGCCATAAAAATCTTCCTCGTAGCAGAATCCCGCAGTACATTCTGCATCTGCTGAAATATGTATTGAATATATGGTGCTGCTCCTGATATAATCACTGAGCAGCAGCAGGGACCGAGATGAGTGGTATTTCCAGCATTTGGCGCTACTGCTGAGCCTGACTGAATTTCAAAACAGGGGTCAAGTCAAGTGCAATCAATTTGTGCTTATAAATCTCAGACATCTCACAAGGAGCAACCAAGGACGAATCTTCAACATAGAAACATAGTAGATTAACAACATACAGTTGAAATCAGACGTTTACATACACGACAATTTTGGTAATCCTAGCTGACCTAAAACAGGAAAAGTTTAGTCACATTTAATGTTAGACAGTAAGAAAAAAAACAAAGGTTACATGTGTTTTTATGCAGTGTAGGTAAACTTCTGGTATCAATTTGATGCTTGAGATGATTATATAATAAACATGTGAAAAACTTGATCTTGCTGCACATCAGACAGCTTCTGGGGCAACTGACAATCCTTTGTGCCCTCCGAACAGTACAGGAAAGCCCTGAATGAAAGAAACTGAAGGAAGGAATTGAGCTTCATTTGCTGTGTCCAGTATCACCATCATGCAACACTGGCTGATTGTCAGTGTTCATACTGAGTAGCTCAAATCACAACAGCTATGTGTCTGCAGCTGCAAGAGCGTATAATCAAGACTTTAGTCTTAAGGGAAAGACTTCTCAGCAGCTGCACTGCCTAAAGTAAGCTGCACATTGTCGCCGGACCTCAAAAAGAGCTGTTAATGATGTAATAAAACAGAAAATGATGTGCTTTTCTGACAGTTGCATCATCATCCACATGGCCCATCAGGATGGCGATGCAACTACCATAGGCTCCTATAAGGTTATATTAAGGGCTAAATGATATTACAGTATCTGACTCCACACTCTTGAACACCAAACAGGACAATACTGTGAACAGTCCTCCGATTTATACATCAAGGGTGACATTGTTTTGAAGTTAAGAGAAATTAAAATGTGAAATACGAATGTAACCGAGCCAATCCTCGTCCCGAAGTTATGGATCCAACTTGTCGACTTCCCTTACCTGCACAGGTGGGAAGTTGTGGGAGATGCACAGGTGTTGCATCTTAGGAAAAACTGAGAATATTAAATTGTGCAAATGGATTGCAGGATTGTACGTACAAATTAGCAATCTGTGAAGTGCCTGAGGTATTGCGACATCTTTTTCTTTGTGTGCAGGTCTTGTACAGTAGAGTCTAATGGTAAAGTGCCCCCATTATACAGTTTACTGCCAAATTTAAAGGCAGCTGTTTTGTTGTTGTA